TCGCTTTATTATCCATAAATAATTTTTAAAGAAGAATTTTCAACAAACAAACTCCTATTCGTCGTTCATACGAATCTTGCAGATACATACATTTACAAAATTATAATCTTCCAGGCCGTTTTGGAGTACTGAGAGTATAAAAAGGTCACGTTTCTGTTTTTAAAGTTTAGGTAATACAACCATAGCATTAATAAATAATAATTCACCAGAAAATTATCAAATTATTATGCATCATCTCATCACCTGAAATTTCAATTTAATATTCGATTAGATACAGACAAGCTTTGGTTTTCATACTGCTTCACTGGTGATGCGGTGGTGACGGTTATCGCCCAGTCTGTACCTGTTGTACGCACAAAAACTATTATAGGGAAATCGGAATAAGGGATGTGGGTACATATTTCTAGGCAACGCAAATCTACACCGCTCGTGTGCCCGATAGCCTAAGTGTAGACTTATGTATGACTGGTAAATGAAACATAGAACTGTATAGAATTCATTTTTGCTTTATTTTTGGTTTCAGCTTTATTTCGGTAAGAAAATCTGGAAATGTCTAAATTATTTTAAAAAATCGTTTTCGGTATATGGAATTGACTTATTTCGGCAGAAGTACCGAAAAATCGGTAGATTCGGCAATACTGGACTAGCTTATACCGAATTTAATCTTTTATGAATTGATGACAGCGTCTTCTAGGAAATCCATAGTCAACCTACTTGACGACATTCCTTATTGCTATAAGTTATTCCATGATCGAAATAACAATAGTGATACCAACAGCATAAATACAAACAAAGTTTCCGAAACGGGTTGAACCCATCGATTCTCGCATACGTTTTAGTGTGACTAAGCCCATTCAACGGATTACGAGCGTAATACCTGTACATTTTCAAATATAAACACCATTACACGGGCTTTAGGGATGCTAGCCCGTAATCTCGACATAATAGCTACACATTTTCTGGTATAGGAACGTGATTGAACACCACAGACCAGGCAGGGCAGGGGTCCTAAATCCATATACCCCAAGAGCTGACATATTTCTTCCTCAAGCATTTTTATGGACAAAATAATTACAGCAAATAGCCCTTATGTTGCCGTAGGGCGGAATGAGGTGTCTGCCTGCCTGGGTCGTTTATGTTAAATTGTTATTAATAATTATTAAGTACTCGTGCGGCCTGGAAGGTAAAAAAAAATGGAAAATGATCCGCAAGGTAGGTTCTTACACATTAATGAATGCTCCTGTATTTTTCATTAAAAAAAAAAACAGTTCATATTACGTTTTTTTTTGCTGTGGTTTTTAACCGGCGGGCGGTATTTTACAATCTACCTGTCTGTTAGTAGATGTGTTAGTATGTGTGGGAAAAATTTAAATTATCTACCAATCAACCTTAACCATTTGAACTGAAATCGTATGTACACGTTGCTTCTGCTGCCATTGTGAATCCAATATGAAGGATCTTACAAGATGGCGATTTATCATTTATTTAGTCTCCCAATGATATAGGTGTCAAATGAAAGGGCTTAGCTAGAGAAATACAGCAAGCTAAGTGACGTCATTCAAAGTCCAATATAAGCGCAAAATGGCGACATAATTTCCATAGTATAGATGTAGTCACCGTTCTTGGCGGATCAAGATAAGACTACCAGTATCCCTTTATATACATATAATGATATGCGAATATTTAAGGGTGTGAATCTACATAAAAAATTAATGTTAGTTTGCTTTATAAACTATGGTCCAAAAATGTGTCCTCACAAAAACTCGAGGTGTTGAGGTTTTAGGAAAAAATGGAAATTGATTCATATTTTCAGAACCGCTTCAGATATTTCACTGATACTTAGTAGGTAGTGAAAGTTAATAAAGTTGCATAGTTTTCAATGCAAAAATAATTTTTAGCTTTAACAGTGGCGTGCGTACGGGTATTGACTTGGATATTTTTTAAGAAAAAAATGGTATGCCAATGGTTTTTTGCCAAATAAAAATTATTTTTGAATTTAAAACAAATCATCTCTCTTGAATTGTTTTCCTTTGATGCGCCATTTTTTGAGTAAAAAAAATTAAACACACTGGCCGTAATGAACAACAACAACTGACAACATAAACATAAGATTAAAACCAACGAAATGATTGCAAAAATAGTTGAAAATGGCCCCCTTCACTTAGTATGCATGCTTCCGCCCTCTCATGGAATTGCGCATTCGTTGAAATATCCTTGGAGTGTTTTTTATTCTATCGCAAGCTGCAACTATTCTTTCTCTTAATTCCTCTACAGTGTTAATGGGACTTGTTTACACTAGTGTCTAGTCTGGGGAATAGCCAAACAGTACTATGATCGTCATATTGGGGAAATGGCTATGGGGACAATGGAATTTTGAAAGTTTGGGACGATGCTCTAACGAAGGTGACTACAGTTTGGACCAAGTGTGTGACACATACCGAGGGCTTGATTAAAAACGAATCATTCACTTAAGAGACAGTTTTCAGATGACTGTGGTGAAGAAATCCAATAAATCATACTTTTATTTATTTATTCTTAATTTTCTATGTGTGCACCTTAATATAAATTGTTAAGTATTTTGATAGATATGGAAGTTTCAAGCTTGATTTTTATTAAGGCGACATAGATTTAAAAGCTTTAAAAGTTTAAGAGCATCATCATCAAAATGTATTTTTTTGTCTAGCAGTAATTTATTTAGGCTTTCACTCCAGGAAGGATTGATCATTTTTATTATTGAAGATGGTTCTTCTAGAGCTCTCATAAGCTTGTCACATGTCCACATCCAATGTTAAATGTTCCATCAAGTTAACAAATAGATTTGTTATTTTGTATTATATAGTAAATTCCGTATGTATTTTTTATTTCAACTTTAAAAAACTTTCAAATGGCGTGTCATACTCTACCCATGTTTATGTACTAGATTATAAGATTTTTGAGAATTACGATTAGTAAATAATTTTGAATTGGTTTCCGTCATTTGGGAAAATTAAGATTCGCGCTCGATCTGTTTACTTATTTCATATGGCGTTGATGACGTAACCCCCAAGAACGGTGACTACAACTATACCTGCCCTATTATCCTATGATATGGCTATCAAAAGAAAGTACTTGACGAGCAAGACACAATAAAAAAGTAGCGTCACAATAAATCCAATTTGAGAGCAGCCGCAAAATTGTGGTTTTTCATTTGCATAGTAACCCTTATGATATGCTTGAGCTTGATGAGTGAAATACAGCAAGTGACGTCATTCTAAATTCAATATGGCGAAAGAATGATATGACAATGCAATATTATTATGACATGGAGCTAATCTGATAATGGAGCAGGAAGGTGACCATGGACTCTGTAATGAACCGATGCAAATCCACCGAATTAGGACTAGGCTTTAGACGATGTTATTATTATATTAAAATTAATAACTAATCTAGACCATCGCAGAAAATGATCTAAACATAATTATATCCATTTTGTAGATTAAAGTCGAAATAACAGCTTTCTAACAAACAATCTGTTTACACACCTGTAAAAACAAAGAAAATAAACCAATCATTCAAGAAAACACTGACTTCAGTTATTGTATACCCGTAGGGTCTAACGAAATTTTATAATAAGAACAGGCGACTGGAATATCTGTATCTCAAGCTCGATGGGACTGAGATCAGATCGATATGGCAGCGGAACAAGACTATTCAATTAGACAGTCGCTACATCCCGTGATCTGCACCGTAAGGGCTGTCTGCCGTAATTTTTGCATTTATGTTCTCGAGGGTTGAAAATCGCAAGCATTTTAAATAACAGGAACAACACTGCTCCCAAATCCATACACCGACCTGTCACAGTAGAATGTTTTGAAACAGGATTCATTAAATAATCAATCACGTGCTTAAATCAGTCCGCTTTTGTCAGAACTGTCAAATGTGACGTTTCGATGTTCGTTTCTTCAATCTACACCCCTTACACCATCGAACGATAATCCTATTTGACAGATATTTTCGTTTCTTATAGAATAAACTTGATGCTTCTTCCGATTCTTGTAGAATAAACTTGAGGATTTTGTGTGCGTTTGGCTTATTCTCTTAGTTGATATAATGAATGAAATGTTTACTTGTTTCAATTAACAGGTTTTATTTATGTGTAGCGTATGAATGCGGTAAACTGTAGAAACTGCGGAAAAGATGCATATGCAGTGGAATGTAAGCAAAATAACTAATCTAGGCCATCGAACAAAATAAATTGAAAATATAACCGTTTTATAGGTTAATCTCGGAATAAGAGCATACAAACAAGCAAACTATTTGCTTACTTGTAGAAAACCAAAGAAAATATACTAAACATTCACACCCGTAGAGTCTAGTGGAATGCCCTATAAAGGGCGAGCCACTGAAATTCCTTATCTCAAACTCCATAGGACTGAGGTCGGGTCAGTGCGGTGGTACCACATATTATACATTACAAGTGCTATATACGGCATTTTCTTGTAAATCAACCAATCAGAAGGGTTGAATGACGATAGCTCTTCGGGTAGCAGGTGCCAGACGTTGCCCCTAAATCCATACGCCGACCTTTCCCAGTAGAATGTTTGGGAACAAGGCACATTAAATAATCAATCACGGGGTTAAATCCAGGCCGCTTATGTCAGCACTGTCAAATGTGACGTGTGTTTATTCGTTTCTTTAGTATACACCCCTTACACCATCTCACAATATTACTATTTCACATATTTCTTCATTTCTTTTAGAATAAACTTGGAGATTTTGTTTGTGTTTAGCTTATTCTCTTATTTTATATCATGTATGAAATGTCTATATGTAGCAATTAGAAAATATTTAATTAATAAATGCGGAAAACTGTAGAAACTGCGGCAGAATTGCATATGCAATGGACTGCAAGTAAAATTAATAACGAATCTGGGCCATCGAACAAAATAAACTAAGAATATACCTACTTTGTAGGTTAGTGTCGAAATAAAAGCATGCAAACAAGCAAACTGTTTGCTTACCTGTAAAACCAAATAAAATATACCAAACATTCGAGCAGACACTAAGTTTACTCATTGCATACCCGAAGGGTCTAGTGGAATACTATATTAAGAAAGGGCGACTGCAATCCCTACATCTCAAGCTCGATATGACTGAGATCGGGTCGGTGCGGTGGTACCACAGAACCACATTCAATAATTCAGGTGCGTCATTCCGTATTATGCATTACAAGAGCTATCTACAGTATTTTCTTGTAAAACAACCAGAAGGGTTGAATGACGATGCTCTTCTGGTAGTCGGTGCGTGCTCGAGTGCCAGACGTTGCCCCTAAATCCATACACCGACCTTTCCCAGTATAATGTTTTGGAACAAGGCTCATTAAATAATCAATCACGGGGTTAAATCCAGGCCGCTTATGTCAGCACTGTCAAATGTGACGTTTGCTTATTCGTTTCTTTAGTCTACACCCCTTACACCATCTCACGATATTTCTATTTCACAGATTTATTCATTTCTTATAAAATAAACTTGAAGATTCTGTTTGTGTTTGGTTTATTCTCTCATTTGATAATAATGTAAGAAATGTTTACCTGTAGCAAATAAAAAATATATTTAATTCAAGCATAGGAATGCGGAAAACAGTAGAAACTGCGGAAGAAATGCATATGCAGTGGAATGCAAGTAAAATTAATAACTAATCTAGGCCATCGAACAAAATAAACTAAAAATATACCTACTTTGTAGGTTAGTGTCGAAATAAGAGCATGCAAACAAGCAAACTGTTTGCTTACCTGTAAAACCAAAGAAAATAAACCAAACATTCGAACAGACACTAAGTTCATTCATTGTACACCCGTAGGGTCTAGTGGAATTCCATATTAAGAACGGGCGACTGGAATCCCTACATCTCAAGCTCGATAGGACTGAGATCGGGTCGGTGCGGTGGCGGCACAGAACTACATTCGATCAGTTTTCGCGTCGTGTGATCGAGTTGAATTGTGTTCGAAATGGGCAGAGAGCGACCATAACGCCTTTTCGGGTCGGTCTGTCGGTCTGAATGTGGCCGAAGAGCATGAGCAAAACATATTCTGGCGCACGGCAGACGGCGGAACGATCAGTGCCGAGTATTGACCGGCCGTATGGTCTTGCGCGCCGGATACCAGATCCTCTCTCTTCCCTCGGAAAGTGCAGGGACGGACTGTCCGAGAAGGCCCGTCTGGAGATAACCTTACTCATTTGTTAGCTTACCTTTGATCAGCAAAATTAAGCATTAAAAGTCATTGGTAAAAAATGGCGTCAAGTAGATTGACCCTGCACATCTTAAGCAAGGCTGTCATCAGGTCATAAAAAATCATGTTCGCCATAAGTTAAGAGCTAGGTACGGACGTGTATTGCAAAAAAATTAAATGTATCAAGTCTGCCAAACAGACCTATACGATTAGTACATAGTCCCCACTCATTTGACAATGTTACGACCTAGAAATTTCCCCTCTGTTACAATCTTGGGGATTTTAAGGATTTGAAGTCATGAGACAATTTTCTATCCTCGCTTTTCAAAAGGTTTTGCCCTTCAACAGGTTATAGTGGTACACAAAAAGATATCTCTTGGCGATGTCCCCCCCCTCAAATATTTCTGCAAAAAAATTGAGATACACTCTCCCTCACCGCCTACAACCTCCAACCCCGGAATTTCAACACCTACAAAAATTATAAGAAAAAATTTGAGCGGTACTTTCCAAGATATAAACGGATCGAAAATTAGCGGTCGAACACACAGACAGGCAGACCGACTTGAATGAGTGCCGTGGTATTTCGTGATGTGATACAACATCCAAAAGATACAATATCCCAATTTCGAAATTTTTCGCAGTTATAAAAGTCCTCGCCACTGGACTTGTAAGTAAAATGTTGCCATTCTGAAGAATACATTGTCATTGAACTTTCAAGAACAAATTTGCGAGTCAAGGTTCTAAAATATTTAAATGCAAAAACTTCATATATGTGATTAACTTAAAACTAAGTTCTTGACTGAAAAACACCCTCATCGACCCTGATCCTTTTTCCAAAACGGGGGTCACATCTAAATATACTAATACTCGAAAATAAATACTTGAGTGCTACAGAATTACTCGTATACATCAGTAATCATAAAATAATGCTTCTCAATCACAACACATCACCACCTATAGCGTGAGGTATGAAAGATTGTAGATATGGCTCATATTTTAAACATCAGAAACATTATTCCATTGATGTGGTTCAAATTATTGTAAAACAGCGAATAATACAGCGATAAATAAAAGCTAAGTACGTCCCTACGGTTCAGAATCCGCCGAAGAGTATAAGTTTGAAAACTATTTCCCAAATATCCATTTTGGGCTGATGAAATATTCAATAACGGAGGCATAGCCTAAGAGTTTTCTCTCAAGTAGACCTACACAATGCAATATGGAGCGATGCGATGAGAGCCACGTTGTAAAAAGCTGTTTAGTCCAGGCACCATTTTTGTTTTTAGGCGTTCGAATCTTATTCGAATAATGAAATGTCCACGAAAGTTCCCTCCAGTCTACAGTTCAAAACTCTTTGATCTAGTCAGGAAAAGATTTTGATTAACCCTCTTCTATGTTTTAGTTAGTTACGAACATGTACAACAGAGAAATTAAATCGATTAACTCAGTCAAAACCGCTCTATACAATTAGTCCATAGACATTCTATCCCTACCCTACTGGTAGTTATTGCGCATTTGGCAACGTTGTACCTTCCGACATCTGCGCAGCAATGGCCAAGGCGGCACCGCTGCCGCGAGCTATCGTTCGTTCCGTGTATATGTTTTGTGTGCTGCAGTACGGATAGGTAAGTCAGCCGGAATGGTACGCCGGACGGTGACCTTATATGGCAGGAGCACGCGGATCGAAAACATATCTCTGATTCCAAGTTTCAAAGGCCGGGAAGTCTATGACGTGTGAAATATGGCTATTAGTTGCTCAGAATTACCAGGGTTGAGAGCGTATAAATATATACATCAAAAAATTTTCATCTGCTCTCCCCCACCTCCAAATATCAAATCCTAATTTTTTTCTGAAACGTTAAAAGATGAGGTTAAGGCGATTTATTTTTTCGTGTTTTCGCACCTAATTCCACCGCCTCTGGACCGATTTCAAAAAACTACAAAACTTTTTCATCCTTGGCAGAGTAGTGACTTTATGTGAATGCTTCATCCAAATCCGAGGGGTGCTTCCCAAGTTATAGTTGTGTATAGATAGCGGACACACAGACCTACATACACACAGACAGATCGATGGAAATGCGTGACAGTTTTTCGTTAAACACCGAAAACCAAATTTGTCTGACCGCTTGAGTTCAATGTGAACGAAAAAAAAGTGTGTTAGGCACATATTTTAGAAAGCTTGGCAACGCTGTTGCAGACAGTGATCATTTGTATTGTAATGGTATTTTCCGACCGCTCGCTGTCGCAAAATATATTGATTTCACCACCATCGGTGGAAATGAAAGATAATTCTAAAATAAATCAAAACACTAAGTCGCATCAAAATTGAAATAAGTAATTCTAATCAAAATGAAAACAAAATATTAAATTAACTGTTCGGACAGACCTTCTTCTTGGGTTGGACAGTAATCTCACCTACTGTAGAACACATTGACAACGCGGCAAATTTCACCATCAAATGCGTCACCGTTGCTAGGCAATGTGGTGATAACCTTCGCTGATCAGCCGGCTTCTATCTCTTTCTAACATACGCACTTATCGCGTTTCTCTCTCGTACACATTAAGCTCAAGGCGTCAGACAAATTAGGTTTTCCCTGTATATCCAAAAACCTTGATTGTTCGCGATTACAATGCTTCATTGCCCAATGACGTAGAAAGTAAAATGTACAAGATTGAATTTGTTAAATAAAATTCTCTGTCGGACTCTGATTAGACGATACGTGAATAAATTTATTTCCATGCAAGTATCTATATTCACTTACAAATTGCATGACAATGCGTCCGAAGATGTGGTCAGATAACAAATATGCTTGCACCAGAATTCAAAAATTATAGAAATTTTGATAACAGTACAGCACAGTGGTTCAAAAAACCCCTGGATATGAATTTTTTAGTTTTAGATTTTTATTGTATCACCTGACAATGCCTTTTATTCTCGATGATTGTCTGGCCGCTAAATGACACCACATTTGTTTGAATTACTTATTATACCTGAAATTCTGTCAAATGATCTTTTTTGCAGTGACCTTGACAAGGACGTTCAAGATTAAAATAATGTTCACCCAAGGTTGTGGCTGAACATGAAATTTTCCATAGTATCATTTTAATTGTCTTTGCATTGATTTGGCTATCTTATTGATACCATTATTTTTATTATAATTTATTTAGGCATCTATGTGTCACGGATATTATCAGCACCATAATGTCAGATGCTTACTGCTTCCTTTGATTGCAGCATTTGTGTTGCCGCTTATGCCGTACTGATGATTCCTAATAAGCTCAAAACAGATTCATTGGTAGAGACAGACGAAATAGTCAACCTATCATAATACTTTCCTTTAGCTACACTTTCAAAGATATGAGTCGATTTATCCTGCTCTCTTCTAGCGCCTGGACTAAAAAAAACTCTTGTCAAGAATATATTTGGATGCAAATGCAGCGAGGAAGCCGCAGAGAAGCGACGCGGTAATGCGTGGGACGGAGATCGAACTTTTAAGGATTTTTAATTACATTCTTTGAGATTTATCGACGTGGTTTTATGTTGGACTTAAAAAGAGCATTGGCACCGAGAAAATCGGAAAATGTTTGTCTTTGTGGAACAGTGGAAATCAATAAATCTATGAACACAAGGCATCAGTCACTTAGGCGAGACGTTTTAAATATGTAGTAAAGCAGAGAGAAAAGAGAAAGAGAAATGTTTTTCAGCAGTATTGATATTTGTTAAGACGTTAAGTAGATTTACTCAGTATCTCAACATTTTTGAGCCCTCTAAACGCATTTTAACTGCATTCTAGACCTAAAATAAACAGAAAGTTGCAGACCCCCGAAAAATAAGATTTAACATTTTTATAAATTCCTGCTGAAAAAAAAATTGTATACTACCTACGCCACTGGCGAGGAAGTGTTGACATCGCTAAAAATTTCAAAAATGAGATGTGTTTTTTGGGTGTTATGTGACAACCATGTCACTCATTTCCGACGGTCTATCTGTGTTTATCCCCTAATCCTTGACCCGTTTGATGTATTGCTCGAATTTGGATGAAATTTCCACACATGGTTACTACTGTGCCAAGGACTAAAAAGCTATGAAGTCTTGAAAATCCTTCTAGGGGCGGCGGCAAAAGCCTAAAAACGAAAAAAATAAACATCGCGTTTCAGAGGCACCTGATTAATTTTGGAAATTTTTTTGTAAGTATTAGGGTTAGGGTG